TGCAACAGCTTAGCTCACCACTCCTTGCTATACGAAAATAATAATAAATCAGCTGAAGTGGAAGGAGGGAAAGATAATTCAAACGCGGTTTGACTCAATGCAGCTCCTCTCAACGGCGGTCAAATGCTAGTGCTTTACTGAAAACTTGTACTGTACTGGCTTGTTCGAAAGGAAACTTTAAACTATGTCGGGTGTTAATGGATAACGGCAGTGAGAGATCTTGGATAACAAAATCTTCGGCAGATGCCCTTAGACTTAGGACCATTCGAAAGGAAAGATTGTCAATTTATGTTTTTGGGTCTATGAAAGCCATAAATAAAACTTACAGTGTAGTAAAGTTAACATTGAGAAGTAGGAACGATCCTAAGAAATATATTGGGATAGAAGCATTAGTTACTGAAATGATTACTGCCGCACATATTGCATTTCTCAATATAAAAGTTCAAAATATTTTTAAGCAAAAGGGTTTAAATTTAGCTGAGGAATGCATGGATTCAGATGAAGGTATTCACATTTTAATAGGAGCGGATTATTTTTGAGTCGTCATTAAAGAGTCGAAAGTAGAAAAAATACCCAAAACGCTAAAGTGCATACAAACTGTTTTTGGCCCTACACTGCAGGGAATACAAAATAATTCTGAGGATAAAATTTGGCGAAACATATTATCAACAAATTTTTGCGTTGGCATCGATATGCAGATGTTATGGAATTTAAAATCGTCAGGAATTACAGATTCTAATAAGTTATCATTTGCAGATGAGAATTTGATAAAACAATTTGAAGATAATTTGAGATTTGTAGATGGAAGATACGAAAACTTGTTTGTTATGGGGAATAAAGCCAACGGATTTAAAAAGTAATTTTTGTCTTGCTAAAAATGACTTGAGGACTTAAAAAACAATTTCGAAAATAATGAATGGTTGGCGAATGAATACAAAGACATAATTAAAGATCAGCAGAGTAAAGAAATAATTGAAGAATGTTCTAGGGAGGCGAAGGAATATTTCATGCCACAAAGAGCAGTTGTGAGAACAGATAAGGATAGTACTAAAGTTCGCGTGGTTTTCAATTGTAGTTCGGAAGCGAAACTAAATCTCTCTTTGAATGATTATTTAAAGACTGGGCCGAATTTGAATTTCAATGTAGTAGATGTTATTTTAAATTTTAGGAAATTCAAAATTGCATTTTGTGCTGATATAGAGAAAGCATTTTTGATGATTGGAATTTCAGAAGAGGATAGGAAATTTTTGAAGTTCTTGTGGTTATCAGAAAATACAATGAAGACTACAAAATAATGCGTATGACACGTTTGCCGTTTGGTTGTAAGTCATCGCCATTTATTTTAAGTGCAACAATAAAAAAGCACTTAAAGCAGTACATGAATAATAAACCCGAATGTGTTGAAATGTTGAACTCTTCACTGTATGTAGATGATTTATATTTTGGGGGAAATAGTGTTGAAGATACATTTAAGCTGTCTTCTGAAGCCGTGTTGATTTTAAAAGATGCAAGTATGATTTTGCGAAAATTAAAAACTAATTCTGAGAAACTGAGGTCATTGTGGATGCAGAATGGACTTAGCGATGATACTTGCATTTCTTATTGTCAGTTGAAGGTTTTAGGCTTGAACTGGAATCCAGTAAATTGTAAATTTTCTTTAGATATAGCAAGATTAATGAATAGTTTAAAGAGTTTGAATAGCACAAAGCGTTATGTCTTGCATGTTGCAGCAATGATTTTTGATCCAATCGGGTTTGCAGCTCCATTTGTAGTTAGAATTAAGTGTTTGCTACAGGAAATTTGGGATGAGGAATTGCCAGATAACCTTAAAATCAAGAGGACTAACTGGTGTTCTGAGGATAAATATGTGAAGGATATTTCAGTTCCGAGAAATTTATTTGTGTATTGTGAGAACTTAAATTCACAAAATGGAAGTACACGTATTTTGCGATGCATCTTCTATAGCTTATGGTGCTGTAGCGTATTGTCGTTACTTCAATGATAAGGGTGACATTTCCATGTCGTTTGTCATGTCGAAAAGCAGAGTAGCTCCTTTGAAGAAATTGACGTTGCCACGATTGGAACTAATGGCAGCAGTCATAGGAAGTAGAATAGGAAAGTATCTGGGAGAATTTTTTAAGGATCTTATTGATAAGTTTGTGTATTGGACCGATTCCTGAATTGTCTTGTTTTGCATAAAGGGTTCTGCGAAACAATCGAAACAGTTTGTCGGTATTAGAGTGGTTGAAGTGCAGGAAAAATCAGATCCCAGGTCTTGGAATCATTGCAGTGGAAGGGAAAATCCTGCTGATTTAGTTAGTAGGAGTGTGCCAGCTCAATGTTTGTTGGAAGGTGATCGTTGATGGTGTGGTCCATATTGGCTAGAAAGAAAAGATAGTTTTTTTTCCTCAGCATCCACTGAAGGATATCCCACTGGAAGTATTAGAACCTGAGAGAAAGGGTTGCGTTGTGCATACTACTGTGATTAAGAATTTTGTGATTGATGAACTGGTTCATAAATATTCTTTTTGGACAAAACTTTTACGAGTTATAGCTTGGTATCTCAGATTTATTGCCAGTTTGAAACGGTCATCAATAACAAGGACAAAATCAAATTTTATCTCTAGACTGGAGAGCTAGCCCTAGCACATTCTTGGGTAATCAAGTCTGTGCAAATACAAGAATTTAGTAAAGAAATAGATCATTTGAAAAAGAGAAAACTAGTGAGTCCTCGCAGTAAACTGAATATATTGAATCCATTCTTAGCCGATGAGGGTATTCCAAGAGTGGGAGGATTGTAAGAGCGGTGTTCGTACAGTGAAGATCTACGTTTGCGTTTTCGTATGTTTTAGTACTAAGGCAGTGCATTTAGAACAAGTTGGAGACATGACGACAAATTTCTTCATAGCAGCTCCAAAACGATTCATTGGTAGACGTGGAAGACCGGAGGAAATGTATAGTGATTGCGGCATTAATTTTATGGGGGCGAACAGACAACTGAAATCATATTGTTCTAATCAAAAGGTAGCTAGATACTTAATAAAGGAAGAAATTAAGTGGAATTTCAATCCGCCTTCTGCGCCGCACTTTGGTGGACTATGGGAAGTCGCGGTAAAGGCTATGAAATATCATATGAGAAGAGCAATTGGTCCTCAAGTTCTAACTTTTGAAGAATTTGCTGCTTATCTAGCAGAAGTCGAGGCATGTCTGAACTCAAGACCATTAGTAGCGATTTCAAGTGATCCAGATGATTTTTCCGTGATTACACCGTATCATTTTTTAATAAGAACATCATTAAAGGGTATTCCGGAACCAAATGTGTGCGACGAGACACTAACACTTCGCAATCATTGGAAACTAGTTCAGAAAATGTCGCAGTCCTTCCGGAGGATATGGTCTAAGGACTATTTGACTCAACCGCAAGTTCGCACAAAATGGCATCGTGCTTCAGCAAATGTTAAAGTAAATGACCTAGAATGAAGACATGAAGGAAGAAAACACATCTTCCTTAAAATGGAAACTGGGACGTATCACCGAAATTTACTCAGGTAATGATTACAGAGTTCGTGTTTTAAAAGTAAAAACTGCTGATGGTGAATTCAAAAGACCCTTTCACAAACTGTGTGTGTTACCAATAGACAGTTAAGTATCGTGAAAACATTTGAGCTTTAACTTAATATTCATCGATATTCATTTGAATTCTTTAAGTTTTAATTTTATTGTGTTATTACTTATTTATGTTATTAATTTTGTGTAATTCATTGTTTACATATGTTGTTTTAGGCTTAGTATTACTCATTTATAAGCAAGAGCTATTTAATCAAGAAATTATATGTTTACTAAGAATAATGTTAAGTAATAGTCTCATGTAAGAGGTAATTTGATGTCCTAAACGGTCATCCATGGGGAGTATGTTGAGATCTCCGATAAAGGGCGTTGTAACACCCCTCAACTGTGTGAGAAAAGTTTCGATTTGTGCGAGAGATGGCGTGGGTTTTTAGAATGTAGTGTGAAGAGTTGTATATCGCGTATGACCGGCTCGTATTTTGCTTTGACCCTGCAACAATATCCGCAGCTTTCTGGACAGAGTCTTCTAGACGGAGCGTCGGCGTCACTGCGTGACGATGTTATCCTATGACAGATACTGATGTCACATCCGAGCAGTCTCTGTATCCATCTGGCCATTTGGCCTCCGCGGTTCTTGATATTCAAGAGTCAATTCAGCAATGCATGATCTGTGCTGAGCAGGAATTTTCTGTGGTAGAGGCAATAGTAGAAATGGTCTACGGCTTTAACTATGGCGATCAACTTTTTCCTGGTGACCCAGTAATTCCTCTCCGGTTTAGATAGACATTTGCTGTAGTATGCCACTACACGTTCTTGACCGTTTATTTCCTGGGACAAAACAGCACCTATACTCTCATTGCTTGCCACTGTATCAAATAGCTTGTCGAGCTGAGGGTACATCAGGATTGTTGTAGATATTAAAGCCTCCTTCAGTTTCTAAAATATACCGTCACATTCTTTTGTCCGTAAGAAAGTTTTCTCGCTCTCTATCAGTTTGTGAAGGGGATCTTGCGATGAAAAAAAAAAAAAGTAAAGATGCAAGAAACGTCTCAGTTGATCACTTTGTTCGAAGTCTCTCCAGTCTTTAATTGCCGATACTGCAGGTAAAAAGCTCATGAAACACGTTTTGACTTGCGTGACGGACAATCAAACTGACTAGTAAGCAAGGGAACTTGTTCGTAAAATCTTCTTGACCTACCTCTTTAAGATGGTAAAAAACTGCAGGACGGCTAGGAAATGCCAGAGAAAATAAGTTTTGTCTTGTTGGAAAAGTTATGCTTACTTTTTATTAATAACTTTTTTTCCCCCCTCCAAAATTAAAAAAAAAAAAAAAAAAAAAAAAAAAAAAAAAAATTTAGACACGCCTCCAGACATTTGCCTTATTTCCTGTTCAGAAGTTGCGCACAGGTTTTTGGCAGTCTTGGGATCGTCAGTTGTACCGTACACATTCGTCATTTTACGAAGTGTGCGTGTGTGTAATTGTGTTATAACAATATATCTACTGTGCTGAGAACCCTAATTAGTCCAACTTTTGTGCTAGTGGAAATTATTTTTGCTAAGCAGGTAAATTTAATATAAATGTTTCATATGATGGGTTAGTCTGTGAAGAAGGATGTCTGCTTTGTAGAGTATCATCCTTATGAGCTGGTCGTACCAGTAAACTTTTCGTATCTTGATAGTTAGGCCTATTCCTTTCGACTATTTTGCATACATATAGATGTGTATTGTAATATCAGTGCTTGCTTCAAAACGTTAACAGACATTTTATTAATACTGAAATTTCCACACGCTTATTTATGTTCTTAATAAAGTTAAACTATTGTTTCTTTCATGCTTTGACACGCTTATGTAATGTTGTGGTTACCGATTTCGCCCATGCTTAATCCGATGTGGAGTTATGCTTTTGTCAGTTGCCGTATGTATTTACTTAGAACGTTATTTAAGGGATATGCTGATGATCGACGCGTAGAATCGTAACGTAAACATGATTTGGGATCGTGATTGTCCGCTTTTAAGTTGTAACTGAATTTATAAATTTTATTTATTTATTTATTTTTTTTTTTTGCTGTCGAAAGCATAGCTTTAGCTGTTTAAAATCAAAATTTGAACCTAACTAGCTTTAATTTTTTTTTCCCTTTATTGTCAGTTATAAGTTTTCTGAAGTAAATATTTTATATACTGAAATTTTTGTATCCGTTCAACAGGTTCGTATCCCGTATAAATTTTGTGTTGTTTTAATTGCTGATATGTTTTTAAACAAAGATTTCTTATGTAGTTTGAGGGGAAGTAACCTCTAGAAACGATCCAGTCGTTGGGTGGTGGGTATAGAATTGGGAATACCTTTGACTATAGAATTCCTCTATATTTGAGGGTTTCAACATGAATTTAATGAAATTAGTATAATTTTGTTAAAAATCTGCTCTCCTTTTCTAAAGGAGACAATAATATGCTTCAGTAGTGTCTTGTTCTTTAGGATGATGATGATGATACATCAGATTTTATGCATTAGCTGTTAAAATATCTTCCCACCCCCAGATTACGGTATGGAACATATATTAATTTTTTTTTATTTAATCTTAAGAAATTCCCTTTTTTAATTTGTGCAGATTTGTGCACAATGAAATTAAAAAAATTCTGTGCCGTACCTTTGTTATTGATTGATGAATTTTAATATTTTTGAAAGTTGGAAATGTGAAATTTTTAAATATTGATGTAGTGTGAGGTGTATAGTACAATAGACAGGGACAGATTTATTCATATAGATATATATATAAATGAAGAATTATAAAAGTTATTAGTTTTCCTTATTTATTTATGTATTGATTGATTGATTTGTTGTCCTGTGCAGCTCTTGATCAAGTCTGATTATTCAGTTTTGTTTAATTCATCTAATGTTCGATCATGATTTTCAAAATGTTGGTTGGGAGCAAGCTTCTCATAGGTTGTGAAATGTTTCCTTTTGGCACTCGGGGGGGGGGGGAACATGCAAATCCATTTATTATAAGTAATAAATATTTGTTATTTTATTATCACATTACTTTATCTGAGGACCATTTTTGTGTTTTTTTTTTTAGCACAACTGTATAATGTGAATTGTTCTATAATGTTGAATTATGAATTTAGAGTCATGACGTTAGTAAGTTTCCAAAATACTTCAACAAGGTTTAGGTGTTAGGTTGAGAAAAATAATGGTTAATCTTTGGATTATGGTAACTTGGCGATTTTTTGGCAAAAATTTGGCAACCAACCCTGCTACAGCATCCTGCTAGTTTTTGGTTGGACGCCATTTTGTTTTCACAAAGTAAAATCGTGTATTTTTTTTTTTTTTTTTAACTTCAACACGTTTTTGCAACAATCTGCTAGCCGAATTACTCTTATACTAGAACTTTTATGGAACAAAAGTGCTTAATCATGACGAAGATTAGGTGCGAAATTGGGAGAAAGTGCAGAATCACAAACTGCTTGCCGCGTTTTTAAGAATTGGACATACACGGTATCAATGTACATGTCGACCTATTTTCACTTAAAAAAACATCCCAGAATTGCACAAAAATGGCGTTGCGCACACTCTTGACTTTATCCATGTACACTGCTAAAGTCCTAGCTAGTAACCTTTATCGCCTTACAAAATGTCGCCAAACTACCTGTTACCATATTCCAAAGATTAGCCAAAATAATTTTTTTTTTTTTTTAAATGAGCATGAAATAATACTTATATGAAGAGAATGTTTAATAATGAAACATTTCTTTTCTGCAGTGACACATAAATTTTATCTGAATGTTATATTCTTTTATGTGTAACTATATTGTATCTAAAGTTTTTGTTTATTTGAAAACCCACATCCTTAGAAGATGTCAAGTTTTTCAGGGAGGTAAATTTTTTACACATATGTTAAAATATACGTAAATATTTTTTGAAGAGTTAGACATTGTTAAACAAATTGTTATAAGTTTTTCTAGGAAGAACTCAGTTTTTGTATTTGTAGGCATGAAAATCAAGAATTGCAGGAAAATATTGAGTAGAAATTTTTCTGAGGAATTTATCAGTGAATGTTAGGTTGAATTTTAGAAATTGTGGAAGCTGTAACATCTGACATTTTACCATATGTTGATTATTTTTGTTGATTTAATTTTTGTTTCCTCATACTGTTAGTGTTTACTTAGGTTAGTCTATTTTTTATGGAACTACTCCTTTATTCACCCTCAAGTCGTCAAGTTTCTTGCCAAACATTTTTGGAGAGAAACTCCATGGTGCCATATTACTCAATTTTGTTATCTACATTTCGAACTTTAAGCCTAAAATGTCTCCAAAAACCACGTAATGAACACACAATTTAAGCTAAAAGTCCGAAAAAAAAAAAAGATAGAAAAAACAAAGTTTCTAACTAAAAATATTTGACAAGAATCCATGTACACAGTACAGTCAAAAGTCGTTAATCTGGACTTGTCGGCACTTCGGCGATTCCTGATTATAGATCATTAGTTTGAATCTGGTAAGATGGCATGCAGAAATTACAAAATTAAAAATATGAAACTGTAATTCATGAAATAAAGAACAATTATGATCTATTGGGTATCAAAATTTACAAAAAGAAAAAGCTTAATATTTATTTGTTTACTTTATTAAACATTTCTTTCAATGTAAGTTGTTTAAGTTGCTTGGTTTCATGTGATAATACTTTCTCTTTAATTCTATTAAACAGACATAATTTCTTGTTTAGTTAAAAAGTTCTGCTGTTCAAGTCCTATAATTGATGCGTTGAGAATACCGACTAATTTGTCAATCGAAATTTGTTCGTTTTCAATAACCTCTGGGTCACTTTCTTCACTATCAGAAACGAATTATAATGACAAGGAACTTGATTTAAATCATATCAAAGACGGAGTACATCGAGATGAAATACTACATTTAGTAAGGAATTATAAGCCAAATAAAATAAAAAATCTGCCCTGAAGATAAGGATAGTGCTGACAGATCAACTTCCAATTCATTGCGCGCCGTTGGCGTGAAATTGATAAACAGATTCGGATTTCGAAACAACTTTTGCTTTGTAGATCCTTTACATATTAATAATATACATCAGAAATTCTACTTGACGAAAGTTCAGCTTACTTTTAAAAATTGCTCTTGCAAAAAATATAAGCGGATTCCAATTCGAAGATTAGGAACAACGCAATCTGCAACATTAATTGAATTAGATCATTTTAGCTTAGGTTATACTGTCCGTTACACATTAAACGCGCATGCGCACACGCATATTCACAGCTGTAAAGGTCTTGCGCGCACTCGTAAACGCCTGTGCACATGAGTGAACGTGACGCATGCGCAGAAAGTTCGTAGCTTTGAGGTCCGGATTATAGATCATTCCGGATTACGGGTGTCCGAATTAACGACTTTTGACTGTACTATGGTTCACAAATAAATGTTCAAAACCTTCTTTTCCTAAACCTTGCAAGATTTCCAGCCATTCGAAAAAATAGTTGTACAAGGCTCAATCCACTCTTTAATGCACTGCATCAGTGTTTCCTTACTTCTGTCGTGTACAGCCACTAAAAGTAATCTCCCAGACCAATATGTTTTAACTTAAAATCTACAAATTGCACAATCTAAGCAGCAAAAGAATCTATGAACTACGCACATCTCACTTTAATAAATTAACATAACAATAAATTTAAAAGAGTACCATGTACACAGCATTCTGTGTCAACTTTAAAAAACATCTACGAATTGTGCAATCTAAGCTGCGGAAAAATCTACGAACTATGCACACCTCGCTTTAATAAATTAACATAACAATAAGTTTCAAAGAACACCATGTACACAGCGTTCTGTTTCAACTTTAAAAAACATCTACAAATTGCACAATCTAGGCACTACACACTAATCAACAAAATAAACTAAAATAACAAATAAATTTTAAACAATTAAAAAAACAACAACAATAATGACAGAAATTCATACTAAAAATACACAATGAACATAACTTTCTACAAAATAAAAACAAGAATAAAATAAAATGCACTTACCATTAATGCTTTTTCGAACAACAGAAATACCAATTTCATGCCGCCATGTAATCACTATCGTATTTATATGACTGCCAGACACACTGTTCACTACTAACATACAATGGTTCACAAATAAATGTTCAAAACCTTCTTTTCTTAAATCCTTGTAAGATTTCCAGCCATCTGAAAAAACAATTGTACAAGGCTCGATCCACTCTTTAATACACTGCATCAGCGTTTCCTTACTTCTATCACGCACAGCCACTAAAAATAATCTCCCAGACCCTCTTGCAACCACGTCTCTCATTGCAACATAGGCCATTTCAAAACATGTGCAAATTGAACCAACGAGCAATTAAAACACTCAAGCAAAAGAGTATTCAATGTCAAAAGTGTTGCCATACAATATGCAATCAGGCCAAAAAACCAGTGCAGAACACATATCGCCACATTTGGTGATCTTGAGTGCATATAAGAGTAGAGCCTTTTTTATGATGGTATTTTTTAGGTACTATTTCATTCTTTTGTGATATTGAGCGATTTCCTATAAAGTC